TAAAAATATTATTGAAAATGCTTCTAATCAGAACCTTGACAGTGGAAATCGAGAGAGAGTCCAAGAAATTGCCGCTGGAAATTGAGAGGACTCGAAGAATCGCCGGTGATGTCATGAGATAGTCCAAGGAATTTCTTATAATGTAAGTTCAAGGAATCGCGAGTGGATGTCACCGCGAGAGTCCAGGGAATAGCTGGCAGATATTACCGCGAGAGTAAAAAAAATCGCCGGTGGATGTTTATGCGAGTATCCAAGGAATTGCCGGCAAAAAAATCGGAATCGCGAGTAGATGTAATTGCGAGAGTCCACGGAATTGCCGGCAAATATTGCCGCCAGACTGAAAAAAATCGCTGGTGGATGTTCATACGATTATTCAAGGAATTGCCAGCAAAAAATCGCGGGGTACAAGGAATCGCCGGGAGATATAATCGCGAGAGTCCAAGGAATTGCCGGTAGATGTCAACGCGTGAGACGGAGAAATCGCCGGTAGATGTCTACGCGGAGCTAAGGGAATCGCCGTTGATATCAACGTGAGAGTCGAAGAGATCGCTGATGATGTCAACACGAGAGTTCAAGGAATCGCGAGTGGATGTCACCGCGAGAGTCCAAGAGAGTCGAAGAAATCGCCGGGATCGTTAATACGCGAATATCGAAGGAGTCGGCAGCAAAGTATCGCAGACGATGGCAACACAAAAATCGAAGGACTTGCCAGAGCAATCGCAGATCCGTGAACACGCGCGCGAGGAACACACGAGGAGGCTCGTCCACGCTCGTGGGAACGATCGACCGAGATATGCCTCGGCGTGTTTACACGACGAATACAGAAAGTGTACTAAAATCTTGACGAGAGTCGACTCGCGCCGTTCACGATCGGCTGCCGGCCTCTCGGAGCCTCTCGCGTGTTTCACGTGCCGGCGAAGAAGCACACGACTGTTCCGAGGCGCGAGACAATTATAATGTTAAACGCACCGGTGTATAGCCCGGCTCTTGGCCCTCCTCCTTTCCTTTCTTCCTTTCTTTCGATTATACGGTCGCCGGCGCCGCGCCGCGCCGCGCCGTGCTCCGACGGAGATAGATGCTCTTTCACTTCTCGCCCGCCGGCTCTGCCGATCGGAAATCGAATCACCGCAATCCGAGCCACGCACGACACGATCGGCGCACTCGATCGCGATTCTCCTTTTTTTCGTGACCGGGCGTGTCTCTGGTTCGCGAACCGATCGCGTTCAACGGTTCTACTTCGCGTTTCCGGAATTCGCGAGCATCGATCTGCGCTCGAACAAGTTATTCGATTTTCAGGATGGCGACGACAAAGTTCGACGAGGATTATAATAAAATATTATATTAAACATTTATTATAATTTCGTGTGTTGCCAGTTGTGCATACAGTCGCAGATGCTGCGAGCAACTTGGAATTGCAATTTACGGTCATTTGATTACTAGATTCTAGATTGCTAGATTCAATTCCCAATCAATTGAAAAACATTTTTATACCGATGTCGTATCTTACTTGGACGCACGCCGCTACTAATCGAAGTTGTCACCTCGGTTGAAATTGTTCTTAGAATCGAAACAGTCCGAGGACACAATTGTAAACAAAGTTGGAGCCATGCACGGAAATGCGACCCGACGTATCGCAGTTGCGATTGCACCGTGGAATTGCGGTCGCGTTTGCGGGGAAAGGGGACCGCGGAATACATCGGAATTTTCAGTCGCAATTGCAGTTGTGTTCGTGCTCGGTATTGCGATCGCGGGACGCGCCAGGAATCTTAGTTACAGTACGTTTGGAGTCGCAATGACCCTGGCGCTTGACCGCGATCGTAAATGCCATTTTTCAAATGTTAATATTACTGTGCGATCGATATCTCGATGGTCTTATCGATCAGTTATCAATGTCAAACAGATAAGAACGCCATGTAACAGGAATATGCGCGAAGACGCCAGAGATGCTGTTAACCCCTTAAGTGAAAATGACCGAGTCTCGCGAGCAAGCAGTTTCTGTGCCAAATGAGAGTTCGACGGGCGCCACATGACGAAAAATTATGATATTTACATCTTTTCTTGACGTTTTTTACTCTCTAAAATGGTGTCATTATAATTACAATGAATTACCAGAAAGTAAAAGATATTAACAAGGAATTAGTTTGTAAATTTTGTTGGCAATGATTTCGGTTACGTTAAGAATTTTTGACATAACGTCATTGTAACTTAATAAAAAGGATATTTTTCAATTTTTTTTAAATTACAACAATTTTGTAAAAACTGATAGTTGCAAAATTCAGAGAGGAACATAAATTAGAAAATAAAACTATTATTTATTAAAACTATTGAGAAAACATTTTTTCCGAGGATATTAAAAATGATACCGTATCCACATTTATATAAATATGTTAAATAAAAACAGAAATGCTTTTAGTTTTATTTGGCGATAACTTATCGCGTAGAGTTGCGCTAAATTAAATTGCCTGCACACGCACGTTTCTTTGGAAATAAATCGCGAGGCAAGGGGTTAAATAGATTGCTATTCATTCAACGGCAGCTCCGAGGTCACACAAATGAATGTACAATAAGCTATGTTTGGAATGCGTCGCAAACAAACGATCCAACCGGTCGATCCAAACGATCCAAACTATTTCCGTTCATGAATAAAAATTGAGCGGTATTTGTGTGTTACGGGTTCGCCGGAAGGGTGACTTGTACCTTTCTTCCGCCAGGAAACGAACGAGTGCGCCGTTTGAAAAGAAAGCGAAAAGACGGTCGAGCAAGATGTTACAGTTGCCGTTATTGCGTTACTTCTAAACCTAGTATGTGCGAGGGCAGATATGATTTCACCGACTCGTGTGGAATAATAGTTTAATGTTTCATGTGCCGAAGGAAACGAGCCTAGCTGGAGAGCACCGTATGACTTGGCCAGCGAAACATGCGACAGAAATATTATTGCTAAAATAATCGGTTGTATTTTCTACGCATTTCATATAATCCAAAATGTGCAGGGACGATCATCTGACGATTGAACCGAATTATTTGATACCGTAGAATCGATAATCGCTATGGTTGCCAATGCTCCGATACTCCGTCCAGAATTTTGTATCATTTCCATTGCATACGTGCCCCCACGGAGCAGCCAAAGAATGCACTTGAAATAAACAGGAAGACGAGAGAGATCCTCTCTCTCTCTTTCTCTCAGAGACCGTTTGTTTTGATTTCTCTTCCGTTTAACTCGAGCTGGCAATCTACGCCGTGTTATTTAGACCACCGTGCCCTGTCGAATAAGTGCCGGCGATATATAAGTAAGAGAAAACATAACTAGCTTACAATTTACGGCGAACCGATGAACGAGAATAAAAACCATAATTCACGGCGAACCAATCGGTTCTATAAGAGGGTCAACGGCACGAAAATCTACGAACGTCAAATTCAAATTGCCCAACCCAACGCGTCGCGAGACGTAATCTGTGTGCCGTAATGTTCTAATCAAAGCTTACACAGTGAAAAGAATAGTTTGTCATGACACGTTGACGTTTCACGTGTTCTTAATCTATTACGACAACACGAGTGCCATATAGTATTTTCAAGAAAATTATCTACTGTCACAAACCAGGTAGAAAGAAACTGAGAAACGAATGAGGTATGTGTATGTGACATAAAAACGATGGAAAAATGGAATTTCGAACGATACAAAGCGACGAGATTTGAATGATTTCGAGTTTAAACAACGCATCTGTCGGTTATGAAATGAGGAAAATGCTATGACACGATCGAAATTGTTCAATTAAAGGTGCACAGGTATCGTTTCATGGGATAGGTTGGTAGGTTAGGTTGGCTGTCGTATTGACCGGGCAGACACGGCGCTGTGTATTGACGCAAAAATTTGGCGCCTTCAAAATGGTCGTCATTCGCCGCCCGTGGGATTTCCACGACGATCGCGAGCCGAAACTGGAGACTGATCGTTTACTCACCACTTCGCTGCATCGTTCCGGTGGATCGTTACGACGACTCATTAAACATAACTCTGTCGACCGAACAACGTGAGACGAGAATCAGCGAGCCACCGCCGACGTATCCATTGACGCGACACCAGTACCCTTGTCAACGCAACCGTGTGCACTCGTGCTACAACACAGCGACGGTCCTTCCGTCTGGCAAGCGTTTTCAAACGATCTCGAAGAGGCTTGAGCAGAAATCGAGACATGCGTGCGCAGGAACACGGTTATGTCAACGGTCCGGCGACGGTACCGCGGAGCAACGACATTCCATAAACAACTCGATCACCACTGGGGGACCGAACCGCCGCGAAACCATTCAAATACCAAGATTCGATCTAACCGCTAACTGTTCGCCGTTCAAATGTTGTGATACATACATACTGATGTTTCATACGATCGAGACTTCTCCGTCGAACGAACGACGTTGAATCTGCCACAGACACTGATGTTCGAAATTCAAGCACGATACTTCACGGTCAAAGCCCGATCGAATCGATGATTTTTTAAAATTTGAATTTCTTTTAGAAACGCCACAGTTTGTACTGTCGTAAATAAAAATCTTGAATACGAGCTCGAGACCAAATTTGAAAATCGTTTTCTCCTGTACATTTTTCAAAATTATGTTTATCTTTTATTTTTATTATTTTCTGAGATTTTGTACTATTTCCACGAAATATGAACGATAATGTTAACAATACTAACAGTAAGAGATTTTAAAAAATGTTCACTATCATGTCTTAAATTTTCTTGTTCCCTTGAATATGTCTGCTTTTTCGACTTCTCACGGTATTCTAACCCTATTACATTTGTAATGATTTTATGTTGTCATTTTATATAATGTTATGCACCATTTTGTGTGACTACATTATTTTAAATATCAAATTGAAAAAAGAAATTCCGCGCTTAAAACAATAAGTACGGAACACTGTACCTTGGAAACATAGGAATATTTGACTATGTTCAGATAGGAACTATAGTCTTTGGATGTTGGACATAATGGTTCATGTGAATGTACGTAAACAGTAAGGTAATGCAGACAAGTAGAGTAATATTTCTTAAATTAACACTGATCTTAATGATCATTCCTGAATTAAACATGGCAGGAGCTGTTAAGATACGGAAGCTCGATATTGTAAATGCAACAAGGAAACATAGTGCTACTTTGTTCTTCTTTCATGGTTCAGGTAAGATGTTTTGAGGTCGCTATTTTTAAATTAATTGAGATAAAACGATCTATAGATTGATTTTAGGATCTTCTGGGGATGATACGAAACAATGGATCGACATATTGCTCAAGGATGAGTTAAAGTTTCCACACATAAAAATTGTTTACCCAACTGCACCGGCTCAACCTTATACACCCCTTCATGGAGTGGTAATTGGGTCATGAAATTTGAACAAGTAATTTGGCTATAGTTCGTATAAAAGAATTATTATTCCAGCTTAGCAATGTGTGGTTCGATCGCAAGAGTATAGATATAAATGCAGCTGAGCAATTAGAATCTATTGATCTGATGTGTAAAAATGTAGTGGAATTGATGGATGCAGAAGTTTCCAAAGGAATCCCTTATGAAAATATTGCAGTTTCTGGTTTCTCCATGGGCGGTGCATTGTCAATGTATTTAGCATACAAATATAAAACATCTATAGCTGGTTGCGCCGCCATGTCCAGCTTCCTTAACAGAAACTCAACAGTATACGAGGTTTACATGTCACAAAATTAACATTCCATACTCTTTATTCTCGAATAACAATAACATAATTTCTCTTTCAGTATTTAAAAGCAAATCCAGGAAGAACACCACCCCTCTTACAATATCATGGCACGAGAGATGCATTGGTATCGGTACAATGGGGAGAAGAATCTTATAACAATTTAACAAAGCTTGGTGTCAAAGGTCAGTTCAGACTATTGGATGGTCGGCACCACGAATTAACAGCATTCGAACTAAAATCGTTTAAAAACTGGATTTTAGACATTTTGCCAGAAAAATAAGATGTCTATTTATGTGTACATATGTAGTAATAAGAAATTTTGTATACTTGTTTTTTTGATCAGAAAGAGTGATTAACATCATAAATAAATCGTACCTTTTTATACTTCCTTTCACTAATTATAAGTCATGTTTGAAGAAGATACAGTTACGTTATCGCGTTATCATATTACAAACAAAAGTGACGTAGTAACGATAGTGATATCTGTATTAAGATTATGCTCTGGAAGTTTGTCTTGCATGCTGAACAGCGTACGGTTGGTATGGCACGTATACATAGCATCGTTCTTTGCGATTGTTAATAATCTCGAGAAAAATCAATCTCTGTTTAATTTCGTACTTATTCGTCTAAACAATCTTCGTTACAATGCTGTTACAATATTATGAAGTAAATCGCTCCGAATCATCTGTAATTACTTCGTTGCGTGTACATGACCGGTTTAACAGGTTCATCAGACGATTTCCCGACCGCAAACGCCTATATGAACACAAGTAAGTTGATAATGATCCGGTGCGATTTAATTTAATGGTTAAAACTGCAATTTATAAATGCATTGGAGATCGATAATGCGAAGGAATTTATTTATCTATCCAGGTAAGCGAAATATAGAAAGGTAAACATCGGCTGAGGGTGAAAACGATGCGAACGACGAGTATACTCGTCGTCATCGGTTAACAGGTTAACGAAGAGTGGGGATTAAGAACCAGCAGAGCTACGGCGGAGGGGATCAGAACAAGGAAGGGGTGAAAGAAGTAGTGATGGTCGCTTTCATTCTGTGCACAGGGGTGGGAAAAATAAAAGAAGCGCCACCGACGAGGCCATCGACGAATCGCGTTGGTCAGTGTCTCGAGGGGCTGTGGGGAGACCGCTGCACCCTGCGAACTGCAGCGAATTTCGAGGGTAGTCGCACATTTGACACACTGGCCTCCTAAACCTTATGGTACCCCACACGTTAACGAGAGCGTGCGACGATAGTATCGAGTGACGGTGCCGTAATCAGTATTTCCCGTAAAGGAAATCGAACAGGACGAACGAAAGAGAAGTTTCAGTTAAAAATATCGGTGAAGCATTTCTTCAGAATCGATACCCGGAATGGAGATTCAACGCAGCTGACGCGACGATAGCGAAGAAAGTCTCCGCGAACGCGATATTGTGATCAATCGATATTAATCCCGAAGGAGTTGTTGACTATCGTCATCGACCACGACGTCAGCTAAATTCATTTCGTGAACGATGTCTGGCCGTTCGGTCGCGATTGAACTCCGTGGAACGGGCCAAGCTGTTCGGAGGGGTATCGCGTGAACACACAATGCACCGATATCGATAGTAAATAATATGGCGCGGCTTCATCTGCAGTCGGTGACGTCAAAGTCACGAAATTCGAGAGGATGCCAGTGATTTGATACGGAGACGACCCGTTCAACGATGCTCCGCGTTAACGAGCCCAATAGACGAACCACCGTGCGACACCGTTGACAATTGCAACTTATAATTCGCGATTCAAGGAGATACGTACATTTACTTGTAAGTAAATTGCCGACTAAATGAGAGTTATATAGATCGTATGTAAGAACGTATAACAAGCAGAACGTATATAGGATACATAACCGATGAGAAATTAGATACATGCCTGACGCAAAATACATGTATACGACGTTGTCAAGTGTTCCGCAAAGTTTATAGGACCGTTAACGGTTCTATTGTTAATTAAATACTGCATTGCGTCTAATCACGTCGGAACGGTAAGAGAAACAAAGCGACGGGGGAGGAGGGAACGGTAACAGGGTCGGAGGAATTAATGTTCTGTCATAATAATAGATCTCGAGGAGGTGGAACAAAGGCGGTCGTTGAGAGAGGAGACTCGCCGAAGGGACAAATAAAGAAACGTATTGAGCCGGTGGCACAAGGAGGTCCCCTGTTGCGAAATTGAGTCGTCGAAGGCGAAAACCAACGGGTTGGCGTAAAGAGGGGAGACATTTGAAATGGGTCAAGAGTGTCTTCGCGATGACGGTGCACGTCGTTCGACCTCGAGCCCGTCTCCTCGCGGATTGATCCTCCTGCGGACTTCTCCCAAGGATCATTAACGAAAAGGGAGTACCTACACGGGGGCCATTGTTGTCGGCGACACCGTTGATTATTTACGATGTCATTAACGGCGCGACGCGGGACTTGTTGAGTTCCTATTAATCGCGGAAGAGACGCGGTAGGAACAGAGAGAGAAATGGGATCACCGGCGAAACGAGATCGCGCCATTTTTAATTCGGTTGCCGGTTTATTGGTTCCCGGGATATAAGGCTTGGATGGGCATCGCGTGATGCGACGCGTTACACGCGACGACTGTCAATGTGATCGCGTCACGTTTCGAAACCGTTGAGAGAAGGGTTATCCGTTTCTCGGGGTACGAGAGGACTTTCTGCATACATGGTTTTTGGGACGCGCAAGGTATCGGAAGCAACGACCACGACGGGCTCCACTTGGCTCTACAACATCACCACCCAAGGTATATAAACAAAACGATTTGTGCACGGTAGTCCGCGTTATGCATCCACAGCAAAATATTATTCTTCGATCATCGGTTGGTCAAATGACCAGCTTGACAATATTCCACTGTTATTGAAATTATAAGTTAAAATTGTGTTAAGTGCTAACAGATCATGATACGTAAAAAATATTTTTAATATTCTCTAGCATTTCGAACTTGCTTTAGGTATAAATAGATTATGGATTTGTATACATATAGTAAACGCTGCAATTCCGTGTTGTGCATTCACAAGGAAATAGTTAAAAATAATGTTCCGCTTGCGTTATCGATTAATTCAGATAAAAAGATTGATCAGCAAATGAAGTAAACAACGCACAGATTTTTTCTAACTAATCTATGCAATGGTCGCCGAACGGAATTCAAAGACCAGCGATTAAATGCACGGCCATCACAGTTTTCGAAAAATCGCTGACCTACTAGTACCAATTACAATACGACAGGATTACCGCATTCCTCTACTTTCACCTTGCCTTTCTTCCGAGCGGAGAACAAAATTTATTCTATTAGCATAAGAGAGAGCGATGCCCGAAACTAACACTCACTTTCATGGGCGGAATGTCAGTGTGATCTTTGGGATACGCGGGACAAGTGAAACAGTGATAATGGAGATGTACGAAGAGTAAGCTGAAACCAGACTTAGAAAACTTCATCATCACTGGACTAGTGCCAGGAGCACGTACGTTAGTGTTGCCATGTGCTCCGCATTGCGGATCGAAAGATTTTATTGCTCACGAGAAACGACTCGGTGTTGTCGCGAAAACGCACGATCTAAATGTGTCTTAAACAAGTTTCAATGTTCGCCCGTTAACTGCCGATTAAATTCGTCTTGAGTTTACGAGAAACTGTGGAGGCTTTTGTTTATGTGAAACCATTAATTTTGGGAATTGCTACTCTCTCTCTCTCTCTCTCTCTCTTTTTTTGCCGCTGTAACAATAAACGATCAATTAAGGACCACTGCTGTTAACTATATTTAAACAAATATTGCACAGCCATTAAAGTGACGAAGTAATGAAAATGTGATTGAGAAAACCCCTAGGAACGCAGAAGGATTGGTTGTAGAACCCAATGTGTTCCTGTATGTAGAACAAGCATACTAATCATTAATAAACTTCTGCCTATTTCAACTACAAAACCACTGCAAAAAAATTGAGACTTGTATCAATAAATTATAAAACTGTTTTGGAACTGTAATTATAAGAATGCAGAGGGTTCGACCGTAGAACCCAACGTATTTCTGTGTCGAAAGTGTCCTGATACAATCCATTGTCCCGCCTAGACACAGACTGATGGACTCGAACGACGTTCCAGGCGAGATGAGCAGCAGTGGAGGGTTAGGGTTCGGCGTCGGCGTCGGCGTCGGCGTCGCTGGCGGGCCAACCCTCGCAGCCGCTCAACAAGGCCAAGGGGTGGCCGCCCTGCTGGTGATGTTGGCGGTTCTCTGCTTCATTTTCGCGTACTGCTGCTGGGGAGCACCGTTCTGCAGATCTCTGTGCAGACGATACTGTTGCTGTCGTCTCGAAGATCCCGAGCCTGACTCCAGATTCGGCAACAGCGATCAGGCGATGGTTGCAACGCCGACGATCATCCTCTTGCCGCACGGTAGGATGCTCGTTGTGGACGGCACAATCTTCACGCAGTTCCAAACCGATCCCACTGGTGAGAGTGCAACTGGATACTAGCCCTTGTTCCTAAGCGGAGACCCTGGGGGTCCAGGATATTCCCACTCTTAGCATACCGAGATCGCGTTATCAAACCTTCAGAGGCTTTCAATGTTTCCTCCGAAAACTTTGATCAGAACAATTTAATCCGACTTTTGTCTATCATAGTTGATAACAAGACATAGTAAAGTATGTGTGTAACAGTTAACATATGGTGAACTATGCTAAGGGTGAACCCCTTTGGTACTGTGACGGTACCTACACGGTTGCATCATGCCAGGTGAAGATGCACCGGCAAAAATAGTATGCATATGCAAACACTGAACAATACTGATGCGCGTTTGTTATCTAAATTATGAACACAGGAAACTGTTTTCAGGGGTAGTAGAGAAAACACAACGTCCTTATTACATCGCGCGCGCGGGTGAATTTTTAAAATCAATTTTCTCGCAACTGGAGCTCCGTGTTAAGCGATTTCGTTTTATATGTTTGACCTGCTTTTCGAGAAGTCGTTCCTTTCCGGTTCAAGGCCACTTACATGCTTCTCCAACCCCCGCACATATTAGCTCCTTGCATGTACCTACAAAGAGAGACGAGCACGCAAGGAATCGTGAAATCGAATATGTGAATACTTTCTTAAAACGATTGTAATTGGGTTGGACATGTTATTGCACTCCAATTTCTAATAAATGTTCAACCCCCTCAAATATGCTATAAATGCACGATCATATCCGCGATGTACCGATAATAAATTATCAATGCTCGTCATTTAACAGGTTTAGACTTGGTGGAGCTTGGTGACAGCGTCCTCCGTGCACAGAGAAATCCACGAAGTATAAACCGACATCAGCTACAGAACAGTCAGGGCAGTATATTAGAGATGGACGCTGAGACGCCCAGTAAAGATAGTCTAGGGTCTATAGGCTGTTTTCCACCCCCGACGTACGAGAGTATCTATGGAAAGGAGGAATCGGATATGCCGCCATCGTACTCCGACATTTTATTGCACAGGTACATTCTAGAGACTTCAATGAGTCTCTAAATCAGGCATCAGAAATAGGAATTTCCTTTCAAAGCCAAGTCGTCGAAACTTTGACGTCAGATGCTGGTTAATCTTAAAAGATAGATTCTATAAAACATTTCTTGAATTAATCTTGGTCGCAGGTTCGCCAATCTTCCACACGACATAGACATGCATAATTATTGCCACGACGGCAAAGAGGAGATCGAGATGCAGAGTTTGGATGGTTGCCCCCATATTCTCCGCAATCCCATGGACGCGATAGCGTACCCCTATATGACGAACTTCTCCAGCCAGAGTTTCCCGCGCAGGACCGTCTCCAGGAATCCATCGATTATCAGCAACCCGCTGGACAGCTACTACGTGGACAACGAACTGGAATTGTACCGAATGGCGCAGGGGATGGTGCCTCGTGTCTTCAGCAACGCAAACTTCGAGGCGTTGAGGGCTTACCAGCACGAGACCTCGTTCCACATAGTCAACGGAAACGGGGGTCAGCAACGAGAGGGCGAGACGTTGCCTGAAAATGGCAACTATTGCGCCACTACCGACAACTCTGTCCGAAACAACGAAAGAATAAGTATGAACGGCTCCGAAGAGGTGCCCAGAGGCGCAGTCCCGGCGAACGAGGTAATGAACACTAGAAATTTAGCTAGAAGCTTGTCGAGGATCAGCCAGGAGAGCAGGAACAATGTGGAAAACGCGCAAAGGGATGTTCACAGCCAGCCCTCGCAAAGGTGCAACGAGACTGATAGGTCCAGGTCACAGGTAGATCAAGAGGAACCATCTAGTCACAGGAGTATACACTTTGAGAGTCAGGAGGTAAACGAATCAAACTGCAACAACGAATCTAATCCGGCAGGATATTATATTAGAAGTAGGAGCTCCGACGATGCCGGCAGGTCGCAGGCAGTGGAGACAGAGTCCAATTATTCTGACGAGGAGACCAGGAATTTTGGAGCCCTCGCGGACATCCGCGAAAGTCGCGTGTAACGTAAGATCTAGAGATTTAGAAAGTATATTTTATTTCAAAGTTGCGCGAGAAACAGTGATCGACACGAGAGAGACTCGGACTAGTTTATTATCATAGTCTGTTCTTGGAAAAAGGAGACCTGTATTATCTCTTCTTCATGGTTGTCCAATCCACCATAATCACTGAAGATTGATCATTGTGGGATAGACGGCCATTAGTTGCCTTGGGTCTCCTCTTTGAAAAACAGACTGAAATAATTGGACTCTGAGGAAAAATACACTGGTGCTTATATCGATTCATCCTCTAAATTACGCGTTCCAATGGAAAACGACGCGACGGTAGAATTCATGACTGAATTGAATTGCTGTTGATTTAAGCATCTAATAAAGGAATTAGAGAATATTTTAATCGGTTGTTACACTAGTTGTGATACTTCGAGAAGAGCGTGTAACAAAATATACACATGAAGTAATTTTAAGTTTGACGCTACATTAAACGCAACCACCTAACAGAATCATGGATTATAGTACGACCGAGGTTCTAAACATAATTTTATATACGAAAAATGTACAATCAATTTAATTGTGGCACAATAATCGAAGGGAAATGATAAGATGATGTTAGGTCAGTCCGTCCAAGGGTTAATCTACACACTAGATTCAGTATATGTATATTAAGAAAATAATCACCATAAGTCGAGTTAAATATTTTGTACATGTTATTAGTGGATCATGCTAGAACCTATTTATTATATATTTGTTTTCTGTTTTATTTTACTATGGGAGGCGGCATGATGAACATACGAGAATAGCACAAGATGCTTATAATTTGTATTTGTACATGTTTGTTAAAACGGTAACCTGACGATATCATTAAAAGTGACAAAGACAAGACAAATAAAAATAAGATGTGTATAGAATAACTGTTGGACAAATCAAGTCCTATGTACAGACTATGTATATGTATGTCACCATATCCCGAAATTGAATTTGAATTTGATTATTCCAAAGCTGTGGCTTGAGTACATAAAATATATGTTGTGTCATTTTACGGAAAAAAAATCTTATGGCACTATTCTTCAGCCATGATCACGTGGCATAAATAAATTAACAATAGAAATTAACGTTAGATAGGATCATATATGCGTTATAAACATATGATAAATTATATGAAAAATGATACATTGTACACATTATTATTACTGTTGTTGAGTAGCTCAAAAAATCGGATATAAATTAAAATATTTAATATGAAATCGATGTTCTTTTTTTTCGTGCCATACTAAATTTTTGAATGAGAAAAGGCTATTATTTTCTAAATTTAAAACTGTAATTTTACTCAATTTTAATGTTATACTTAATAACAATTGCATCGTTACAAGATGAAAAATATCTTACATTTTTATATAATTTAATTATCACTGTCCATATCTTCTGGCGCCGATGAGTCCTCGTCCTCGTTATTTTTACGGTCCCAATCTTTTAACTTCGTTCCCATTACGAAATCGTCCCTCAAAACGTTCCACGTTTCTTTCTCCTTTAAAAGTTTAATTTTTATTGATGACTATTCATATTAATTTATGAATAAATGAGCTAGAAAACATAATATATTTACCTTCTGTTGTTCTTCATCCTTCACATCATTATCTACGCTAATACTTTTGCTTCCACCCATAAGAACATCCAAGAACGAATTCTTATCAATGCGTTTAAGTACTTGCTCCCGTTTTCTTTCTAATGGACCAGCCTCTGCTAACTTTTTCTTAATTTCACCCTGCTGTTGTTTTACAGCATTGAACAATTGTACCACGCCTCTGTAAAAAATTAAAATAACTTTAATGACTGAAAACAGAGTATAATATAATAATAACTCAAAATAAAATATAATTACTTTGTTGCTATTTTCTGCAACATTCTTTCACGCTCCCTGTCTGTTATGCTGGGTTTCACTCTGATACCTAAATGATCTTTTCTTTTTTCTTTTACTTGTTTCGATGGCTTTTCTGCAGTACTATTGACATCGTCTAGATTCTCAGATTTCATTTCCCCATCTACTTTCTCAATATCAAAACTTAGTGCTTCACTTTTGTCCTGTTTTATAACATCACATAGCTTCTTAGCTTTGGACAATACTATGGTTTTTTTGCGCTTTGGTTTCTTCGTCCTCAAAATCTTTTGCATAGCATCTGCCCAACTGGGATTCCCATCAACTTTGTGAGTATTGGTTTCTTCTTCCTCGGATTCTGTTTCTCTGAATCCGTTTCCAGCACCTTCCAATTCTTGTGTTTCTGATTCCATGGTGTCATCACTGCTATCTTGTCCACTGTCATCACTGTCTTCTCGTAATTCAACTACAATTACAGAAATATATGTAAATGCATTAAATATCATAAAAATATATGGCTAACAATAATGAATTCTTTATGTCAATGGCAATCATAGCTGCATACAATATACTAAAATAAAGTCTATTTCTTATTATATTTTCCATTTTGTTTCCATTGTGTTATATTGAAATTTATGTCACCAACAGGTAAAACTCTAAAATTAAGAACATCTTTAACCTGTGTCTAAAATATCTCTATCGAAGAGGTTAAGTAAATAAACGTAACATTATCTTTTAAAGATAGAATATTAGTAAAATGAATTTGATTTCCTACCTTGTGGTTTTTTCGGGGATTTTCCGAGTTTAACTGATGTGTCTAGTGCAATCATTTTTTATTAAAATATAAACGATATAAACAAACATCAACAACTTATGGTAAGAGGAATTACCAACAAGTGATCACATGTGCTGCCTGCCTTCATTCGAATAAACCTAAAACGATTATAATTATATGATTTTTGTAATCTTATTATATTATTCGTTTAATTACTCTGAAATGGTAGCATGCAATAATAAACATTAGTGTTTTAAGATTTTTACAAATATTTTATTTCTTTTAAAACGTGATTGCATCTTCAACTTCTGCAAGTTTTTTTCTTCTCTAAGAGCAAGCGCTTGTATCCCTACCATTTTACTATGCATCCAATCCGCATTGAATCTCGTCGTAGCATTGAATCGTCAACCAATTAGAACAAAATAATTTCTGTACTCTTTTTCGACTGTTTAGTAAGCTGCAACACAGAGTCGAGTAGAACGGATAGATAGAACGAATAGATGCAGTACACGATAGAATTTTTAGTGATGCATGAAATGAATATTTTTAATAAATATGAATGTTTTAAAACTTTTTCTTCATTTTTAAAATATAAATTCGGAAATTTTATACGTGAGGTTTTATTTCTCAACTGTAATTGTTGTTACAATTAACACTAAGATATGTTCGAACTACTGTATTTAGTCTATGGTTAAGAGTGGTACATGAAAGGATATTTATAACTTATGAAATTAAGAATTCGATAGTCGAATTTATAGATATTTTCTATTAAACGGATTTTTACGTAGCTCTTAGCCCAAGTCGGTAATTCAGACCCTGAGAAAAAAAGCGTTACGTGCAGTGTCTGCACGTATTCTAAGTCTATGCCTCGTCTGTAGATCTACAATATCTACATATGAGTAATTTATAATTATAGACGAGTACATCATGTGTGGAACAGGCCCCTAAACGATCTTCGAGAATTCGCCAAAAAATTGAACTACTTTTAGATAAGCTGTACATTTTCTTAACAATTTTATACAATTTCTTAAATAATTTAATTCTTTCTTGTTTTTCTTCAGTGTTCAAAGTCACATCGACTTTTTGGTTATTAATAATTTTCATTATAAAATTTAAAGCTGCACGATAAAAAGAGTAACAGCACAAAAACAAAATTTGTAATTACAAAAATATGTAAATTGCTCCTTTTGATCAAATACTGAAGAAGCGAATGCGGAGCGATAACGTCAAAAGTTTGGGAAATTACCATTGTTTATTAATTCTTTATACAATGTATGATCGTGAAAGATAATATAGGATGTCACAGAATGGATCCTTATCAAACACAGTCCAGTTTGCCCGTTTATGTCACGGGCATGAGCGTTAAATGGTTAAAAGCAGCAGCCTTTGTATAATCTCGTTGATTTGTTTTGCTAGCTGAAGTATCTGTGATGTCACGGATCCAAGGTCATCAGGCTGGTCAGCGGTCAGTGTGTTTGCAGTTTCATAAAATTTCTGAACAAAGGCGAGATCGTCGCATTTGCGTTCGATCGGTCGAGGTGTTCGGACATTTTCAAATCGTGTTCCACGTTTAACATTAAACTTCTGTTTTCTCTTACATTATATTCGAGAAACTAGGCAGCGATTATTTTTCCTAATTATCAATTTTTCAAGATCTACGCCGGCGTTTTATCTTGGATAAATTTCCGCAGTGCGGCGACACATTCAACGAAGCAAAATGTTGAGTGAGTAACGACGTTCTAGATTCGTTTGAAACGTTTCACATACGTACAAATTTCATTATTAGTAAACAATAATATTGTGAAAATGTTATGTTTCCTTATTTCATGGAGTACGTGATTAATTCACGTACAAAAGGAACGTTCAAGGTCTTCCTGTCTGTATTATTTTTTTTTTCAATGATGGAGCGAAACCGGCTCCGGGACAATGGCTAGGGTAGTTCGAATGAAATTGAACAGAATATTTCTGTAACAAAATATATTTTACATAAATTATTTATGAACATTGTATTTTTTCTAATAATCTTACAAAATATTATTAGGTGATTTCAAACAATTTGTTGGTTCGTAAATAAAATTACTTTATATAGTTCGTATAACAAAATTAATGTGAAACCAACAAACATCTAAGTACAAATTGACAGTGGATTTATATTGTCCCAAAGAATTGAATTTACTGTGCGAATTAAGGGTTAATTCAAATGAAGTTACACTAAAGGATTACCATATTCATAATTCTTTCTTTCCCAGAATTGACACTTTTGTTGCTGGTCTGTGCTGTGGCCACAGCTCAGGATTGTGATGTGAATAAAGATCAATGCGCTGCTACCACTTCGGCTCCTTTCGATCAGGATAAGGATTGGAACTCTGCAAACACGATATATGATTTTCATGCTAAAGATATTCATGGCAACGATGTGTCGCTAGACAAATACCGTGGTCATGTATGCATAATAGTTAATGTTGCCAGTAACTGTGGGCTGACAGACTCAAACTACAAGGAACTGGTGCATTTATACGAAAAGTACAGTGAGAAAGAGGGCTTAAGAATCTTAGCGTTCCCCTCCAATCAATTTGCGAACCAGGAACCAGGCAGTGCGGAGCAAATTCTAGATTTTATCAAACAATACAATGTCAAATTTGATGTCTTTGAGAAGATCGATGTCAATGGGGACAATGCGCATCCATTGTGGAAATGGCTGAAGACTCAGAAAGAAGGTTTCATAATTAATGCCATCAAGTGGAACTTCACCAAGTTCATCGTTGACAAGGAGGGCAAAGTTGTCTCCAGATATGCACCGCAAAAGGAACCTCTTGAAATGGAGGAAGAACTGAAGAAATACTTTTAAGCGTCTCGAGATCCTTGCATGCTTACAGTCTTAGCAAGTAACGCATTTAATACTCGATGCTATAACTGTTAGAAGAACAAATCTAAGAACGATAACACTGTTTTATTGCCTACAATACGTACATTCGTGTGGTTGGAAAGTCGTCTATGTATACAACAGTCTGATGTAGAATAAGTCTCCTTTCCCTTTGTTTCATTTCGATGTAGTTATTTACTTGTGGCCAATAAATATATTTCTCTACCTTTAACAATAACGTGTCTTGATTGAACGAATGAACAAATTCGACGTGCTACGTCTCGTTTATTATATATATATCGATCTCTAAACAGATGTAAATGTGAACTGTACAAAAAAACACAGCTGGGTTTATCGACGCCCATCGGGGTTTCTTAATCACGACTTAATTAATTAACATTAAATACAGAGAACAGGCGTATCAATTCTTAACAGTACAATATAGTATCTTATCACCTAATGCGATCATTGTAGCCAGATCGGAATTAGCGATCCCCGAGAATCACTTTCTCATAAATAGGTCTCTTCCGGCCTTTTCTGACTCAATTGCACAGCGTTGTCTCGGAAAAATAATATGTTGCTTATTGAGAAAATTTCGTTGCTGATATGTTCTCTAACTCCATTTACAAATGTATATTGATTTCCATAGATAAACGTACGTATAAGAATAAAGTTATTTAATTTTTGATAAAAATTTTAAGACGATTGTGGCTGATGACAATGGTAACAAAGATTTCAAAGCTCGTGTGTTTAGTTCAACACTCCATTACAAATGAAGAAAAACGAAATAAGAGATGTTTGTTTTCTTCTTACGTATGCGTAAATATCTGTGACCTATTTATAATCACCATGGCGAGTTCAGTGACCAGGGAATCGATTCCGAGCCAACTGCAGCGTCGCACGATACCGCTATTTACAAAATTTAATACAATTCCACTGGCAGGAATGAAAGGCGAGACAATTATCAATGATTCCTCATCGTCCGGACGTTAAGGCAGTACATTCGATCTTCTGACGATTCAAGGCACTTCGTTCATTCTTTAGGCCCTAAGGAGCTGAGACTCAAGGTCGGGGTCCGCGAGAGTTTCATCGCTTTCTTCCGGTATCCGAACGTCTTCCGGTCTCGCATAAATAAATACAGTTTCAATAAATTACAGGACCTCAAGCGGACTCCTTGACGGTGCTGTTGTTGATGGTGGCCATCTCGTGCTCTAGGTTCTTGTTCCTACCGTTGGACATCGCCACGGGATCCTCACAAGTCTGCAAACATCATGCAAAAACCATTAGCTACCGTTATCTCATTGATTCGAAAAATCTGTTATTCGAGGATATTTTACTTTTTTAATCTAACTGTTTTTTTTTTTGAGATTATCACTTGGCTTGACACCTAGCCGATTCCGGATCACTTGGAATCCATTTACTCTACTACAAGGATCATTGGTAGATCGAGAATTTTCATGCAAACACGAATTTTTTATTTCACATAAAAGGAACTTGGTTCTTTCATCAGAGTTTGATTAAAGACAAAATGAAATGGACGCAATGTACTTTTCAGAAAAGCATAAAATCCTGTTAACGTTATTCGTGCTCGTCAAAATTTTCACACATTTTTTTATTTAAAAATGATTAAAATTATCAAGACTCTTTCATAGGAAATGATTGAATAAATTTCTCAATTCAAGTAGATACTGTAATAAAAATAGCGAATAGTCTCAATAATTTGTTTCTTGTCATTCTGATAAAAAAGCTCGGTAGGTTTAGTGTCGAACAGTTAATTTAAATATGGTCTATTATACTCTAGACGCTACTTTCTGTTAACGAAAGATACATTTAAAATACCTAATCTAGCCAAAATTAATTCAGTATTGGCCTATTCAGTTGCTGTTTCATCGTTCGACGGTTAACAGAACATTTCTAAACTTCTTTCTGGTAAAACCCGATTAATTGACTCGTTTTTCTTAACAGAAGTTCGCGCGAAAATTGCAGAAGCCGAAGAGACGGAAATTTCCCAGCGCATGGGTCGTAATTGGACAGCAGTTTCAATAAACGGATCAGTTTAACGTATTAATACAATAAGAGTGAATTACCCATAGTCTCTTGTTGTAATTCTACCTTGTAGGAAGGATTGTCGTAGGCGGATGTGGTTTTACGTGGGGATATGTCGGCTTTGCTGCTGGTCCGCCTTTTCATCAGCATCATGAGCAGTATCAAGGTCGAGAGGATCGCGAGGGACGCGACGATCGCCACGACCACCAGCGGACCATAATAATCGCCTTCGTGGAGAGGCACCGAAGCCAATTTCCCTGCTGCGAGTACAATCAACAATTCAAACAACTTAGCAACAATTTCGGCAGTCAAAGTGTGACCGCATTCGTTCGTATTCAGGTGAAAGAAATTTCAAGTTCGAAGAATTTAGATCTTCTCCGAACTTATCTCACCTATTAACCCCTTGCACTCGAGTGACGAGTGCCACAATTGTATTATCACGCTCCAAAATAATATTTACATTATTAAATTTGCTTATATTTTAATAAACTGTCTAAATAGGTTCAATTTTATACATGTATAACTTGCAATAAATCATACAAAAAGGTAATATCGTAGGTCGGAAAAATTATTTTGGATTTAGAGTTAAAATGGGGCTTCGAGTGCACAAAGGGTTAATCGATCTCTTTTCGTTTCAGAAGTTTGCACAGGATCGTAGGATCTAAGCAAAGATAGCTGTCCTGTAAAATGATGGTTTGGAAAGAGGATTGCCCACCTTGCTGAGAGATCGTGGCAGGTAAAAGGACGCCAGGCTTGGTAACGAAGTCCTGCACGTTGCTTTTCTTTATCTTGCCGTTGGTCAGATACACCTCGAGCCACAATCGGTACCTGGTCCCCGGCTTCAGGTCGCTGATCACCGTCTTCGGATGCGAGTCCCGTTTGGCGATTTTGAACGTGCTAGTATCCTCTTTGCCACTGTCGCTTTGGTAGATCGCCCTGTAGATGTTCACGTACTTGTCTTCTGGATAGGGCACACCGCTCCAGGTCACCTCCACGTCCGTCGACTTGATCGTCTTGATCTCCACCCTGACCTCGAACGAGTACGGGTCCGGTTCCATCGATGTCGTCACATGGACCTGTAAGAGCAGTCGTTTAAATCTCAACAATCGAGGACTTTCATGCTACGACTAGGCAAGTCCACCTTTTAGTAGAATTGCACTCGTTCACTCTTGCCGTACTTTGACGAACCAGACTCCTGATGGAGATTTCTACTAATAACCTGTTAACCCTTGTCATCGGTATTTAAAATTTAAGCATTCAAAAAGAAATGTGGAAACACGATAAATTGTATAAAATTTTTTTTTCTGCTAAGAAATTATTGCAATTGAAAAACTTCTAATCATTGTAACTGCGAAGAAAATGGTACGGCAAGGTTGTGAAGCGTCTCCAATTATAAAGAATAATAGCCCGCTTAAAACAGATCTCATAGAGATGTTCTAATAAACTTTTGTAGACAGCAGAGACTCCTTGCGAAACCAAGAAAGATTGACAGAAGAGATGAACGAACCGTCTGCTCGCTGACGAGCTCCGTTAGTTGTCCCGGGAACGGCACGAAGAAGATGCCGACCTCGTACGTCGTGGCTGGCTTCAGGTTCTCGATCACGAAGTTGGTGACCGCCCTGTGGATCAAAGGTGTGCCAGAGTAGACCTTGCCATCTAGCTGCTTGTAACGCAGCTGAACGCCGTCGATGAACTGTAGCTCGTACTCGGTGAACTTCTTCCACATCACGTTGATCCAGGTGGAGTTCGTTTCGGTGACTTTCAGCTCGGCGTCGATCGGAATTTGCGGCGGCAAGGTCACTACCTCTGCTCGTTTCTCGAGGGTTCTCACGGTGTAGATCTTGCTGGTGGGACTGTTGGCCAGGTCCTTCAGCTTCACCGTGATCTTCACCTTGTAGTCCGTCGACGGCTTCAGGTCGCCTAACTCGAATTCTAGCTGGGGTGTCGCGATCAGATCGTTCGGCGGCGCGAACACCTGAGACTTCCAGGTGGAGACGTCGTTGTTCCTGAAGAGAAAGATCGTTACAGATTTTTTTTAGCGGTTCAAGCACGTTTTACCAGACCGTTGAGTTAGAAAAGTAGGATCGATCCTTAATCCTTTAGTGCCGAACAACGATATATCGTTGCCGGATACATTTGGGAGAAGTTTAACTCCGAATATAAGTTTTTCTCCTAAGCGTGATCTTTTATGAATTTTCTAATGATTATTTTGCACAAGATTTTCATGTCTTTCTTCTCGAACCTCGCGAAATTACATCAGCCTGGCCTAGCTTTTTTCGCTCGGATACCTATAACGTATTTGGCCGGCACTAAAAGGGTTAGCCTGCACCGCATTTTCCCGTCACAGAACACTTTGTAAGCGGTCACGTGAGATTTGCAACACGGGTGAACGCGAGACAATACAGAGTACGAGAATCTAAGACGCCGTTGATAACAGATTTTTGAGAAGCAGTTTTTGCTAACAAATTGCTATGAGAAAGGGTTGAAACAATTGGAAAGAATTATTTTTTCCTATCGTACGATACAATTGTCTGACATACGTTTTATCGTTGGTGTATCGTAGCTCGACGCGACCATGAAGTCCCACCAGAACTTGCGGCACAGTGAAGACGAGGCGAACGGTTTTTTCATCGAGAGCTTCGAGCATTTGCACGGAGACCTCGTCCGACGAAGACGCAACTGGAAATCCAGGAATGCCGCCAGGTAATGGGAAACCTGGTGGGATATTGTGATCCATACCTGAACATTAAATCTACGATTAACGTTTTCCTCCACATTATGGCTGACGAAACGGGTGGCTGATAAATCTATCTAGAAATCGTGGATGTCGCTTCAACGGTAATATAGGGAGACTGCTACCTAAATCTTTATACTATCGCTCGATCAGCGTAAGAAGTACCGTCCGAAGACTTGAATTTCAAATCTGGGACCATCGTTCGAGCGGTAATATGGGACCGTGTAGTCCCTCCGATCGGGGTAGCGAGGATAACATTTGAAGCGTCGAATACTCCCAGTTTCCGAAAGAATCGGTACACCCTAGATCAGGTGCCAACCACTTATCTTCTCTCTGATCGATCATACGACGAAGAAGGAACGTTTCGGTGGATCCTGCCTGTAAAATCGTGTTGCCGATGGGGGACGAACCTGACTGGTTAGGCGATTGTGCAGCGAACGGGTGATTCAAGTGCGTGAGTCCCGAATGCGGTAGGTGAACCGGCAGAGTGGCCTGCGGGCCACTCGGCCCGTTATGAGGTATGGCTGGCTGTCCGGGATAGTGTTGGAACGGTCCGGGATTGGGATCGTGTTCAGCGATATGCGCTAGCAGTTCCTCGATCTGCTGCGGCGTGCTGGGTATGTCCGGCGTGTGGATATGGTAGGTGGTCTCGCCGTTTTCGTTCGTTTGCGTGTACACGTGCGGCTTGGCGGGCTTCTTCGGGCCGGCGGCGGGCCCGGCGAAGTACCCGGGCTGTATCTGATTGGTGTTCGACTGTTTCTGACCTGCGATTTGCTGGTGGATATCGTACAGACCCGGGTGGGCGTCGGGCGGGCCGCGGTCGAGCTGCACCAGGCCCGGATGGTGCAGATCGATCAGATGGTACAGCTCCTCGGGGAGGATCTCCTGTTCGGGGTTCCGTTGGCCTTGCTTGGGCCTGCCGGGCAGACCTTGCGGCGGGACCTTGGTTTTCTCTTGGTCCGAGGTCTTCTTCTTCGGGCTAAGAGGCACGATCACGTTCGGGTCCAAGCTGTCCTGGAGAACGGGGCCGCGATACGGAGGCCCGGTCGGATCCAGTGGAGGGTTCAGACTGTTCTGGGGCACGTTCTGGCCGATGGTGGGCACGAAGGCGAACCCCGGGCCTACGTTCTGGTGCGGACTCAACGGAATGAACTGTGGCCGATCGGTCGGAATCCCGGCTTTCGGCAATTTGTTCGAATTCACCGGCAGAGGCAGGGCGTGGCCAGGTGGCTCCACGGGGTATGGAAGCGGCGGCGACTTGTCCGGGAACTTGTCCGGCGCCAACGGACCCGGGAAATAGTCGTCCTTGTGCGGGACCGGCTTGACGATCGGCTCCACAGGCTTCTTCGCGTCCGATTTCATCTTGGCCTTCTCTTTCGCCGGCTTTTCCGGCACCTGCGGCTGGTGCAAATGGAACACGTCCTCGACGCTGGGGTGCGTGGGCCTGTAGTCGGGGTTGTAGGGCCCGTTGTACGGGATCGTCGGGTGGCCCGGGTCCATCGGATAGTGGAACAGCCCGTGGTTGCTTCCGGCGTCGACGCCGCTGTCTTTCTGGCCGGACTTGTTACTCGGCCTATCGAACGCGTCCAAGGCCAACGGGCCCGGGAACACGGCGGTCGCGTTCGTTCCTGCAATAGAGCAAAGTCCAAGGTCACAGAGATGGCGGCTCGTCGTCTCGGCTGCTGCTCCGCCGGCTGGCCCAATTTCTCCATGCATATTTACAGGCGACAAGTCCGTTTAATTCAAAGCATGCAGATTTTTACAGTGCCCCCTCTCACGCTCTCCCTCTCCGGAATTGCTGCGGATGCGCTGGAACTCGTTTTCGTTTCGCTGTACAGGCTAGGTTTTCCGGGATTATTAATGCGGGGCGCGCGTGGAACAATCTACAGTGTTTGTTTGGATGGTGTTCGTATTTGGATATGGTGGTCGGAGCGAGGGTAGCTTGTCAGAGGTGCGAATCGGCGGTGAATTCAAGGTCGGAGGTACGTATATATATATATATATATATATATATATATATATATGTATATACATTCGCATTCGCACTGGAGAATCCAGTCAGGTCCGCAGAAGCGCTTCCAACCCACTACCAACAACGATCAAGACGAATGATCGTTTTACCAGAATCCTCTTCTGGCAGTCTTGTTCGACATAATTAGAGACACAACGGTTCGTTCTGCCTTCGAGTTCTCTACCAGTACCACCGTCACCAGAGAACCATATGGTGCCAACCTTCTACTTTCGACAACCTCGGAAGATGTGCACAGGATGTCCCACTTTTACGAACTTCGTTTTCTTTTCTCTCGACTGTCATCTGTTTCTCGAGTCTGTCGAGTCGACACAGCTTACAGAAATTCCGACTAGATCGCATGTCCATCCTCCAAGAAAGGTGTTCGCAAAATTAATTATTTACATAGTGCCAATTTGACATCGAGAAACAGATCGAAGCGAACAAATAACGGACGCGTACGTAACGAATCTACGTCCCCGTTTCGTTATGCTATTTTATACTCCTGACTCGGATCATCCTGTACACCGGCTTCACGAGAAACCACAGATCACAACCATCGAAATCTCAACTCCAGTTAAAGTGAACCTATTGGAATTTGACTTCCTCCCCGAGAGAAAAGACTCAGGGGTCGCAAGCGATGGATCTCGCTGGATGGTACCTGGCTGCTGACCAGACTGATGATTGCAGGTCCATTCCTTGCAGCAGTCTTCGCCGGGCAGCTGCGTCAGAATGGCCTGATACGGTGGACAGGGCAACGTAGCAGGTGGCAGAGCTGCGACAGGTGGACAGGCAGCCTGGCAGGACACGTTGCCCATCTCGCAGTAGCATCTCTTCTCGCAGCCGGTTACGTTCGATGGCAGCTCGCTCCAGTTGTCGTACATTTTGTCCTCGTAACTGCACGAGCCGTTATTGATGCAGCGTACTTCCTGGAAGGGAAGGTTCGGAATCTTCAGGGTTATTTTTCCGTTAATAATTTGTAAAGAAAGCCGCGGAGTATATGCAAAAGGAGAATAAAAATGGAGAAGGAATGAAAATCTTTCAGGTCGGGAATCGTGTCTTCTACAAGGAGTTAATATAAAAGTTGCAAAAAATTGAAGTAAGTTGTATTTTGTAACCGTTATAATGCACCACGTATCAGTCATTTGTAACGTTTCGTAGTGTTAGTGTTAACACGTTGCGATACTTGACGTATTGAAGACGCCGCTGCTAGGTTGAGATGGACAGGTTGATCTAACGTTGTCATTTTTTTATTATCATCAACGGAAAAAGGTGATCGAAGGTGTCAAAGGTGATTAAGGTAGATGTAACATCCTATAAAACTCACCTGAGGACAGCAATTAGGCGGTTTCGCGACGAAGTTCGGCGGAACGGTCTCCCAGTCCAAACAATGAGGGTCCAGCACGTCGAGCCCGAAGTCGGTGGGACATTCGATGGTCAAACAATCCGCCATACCATTCTCAGCGCACATGCAGAACGAGATGCACTCGTCGTACCATTCCGCGCCCATTTTGTACGTTTTTCCCCTGTGACTGCAGGTGTTCTTATCCCCAGTCTTCTCAGAAATGTTTGTCTTAATCACTTCCGCTGGGAGGACGACTTGCAGGGCCGGACCGGCTTTGGTCCCTTCGGTCACGCGAACCGAGTACGTTCGAGCTGGCTCTAGGTTCGATATTATACCGTCTGAAACCAGAAAATCATCTTTTTACCTCCGCTTTTCACTATCTTCTACTGAAAAACTTGAAAGACTCGTTAAAGGTACGGTAAGAATGTTCTGAAGCCTCGTGGTAGTAATTATGTCGTGTAAAGAATTTGACCGACACGAATGCAGAGGATCACAGAAATCCACAATTAGATAAAACTGCTTCCCGTTTCATCGAGNCGAATCGGCGGTGTATACAAGGGGGGGGATGTATATATATATATATATATATATATATATATATATATATGTATATACATTCGCATTCGCACTGGAGAATCCAGTCAGGTCCGCAGAAGCGCTTCCAACCCACTACCAACAACGATCAAGACGAATGATCGTTTTACCAGAATCCTCTTCTGGCAGTCTTGTTCGACATAATTAGAGACACAACGGTTCGTTCTGCCTTCGAGTTCTCTACCAGTACCACCGTCACCAGAGAACCATATGGTGCCAACCTTCTACTTTCGACAACCTCGGAAGATGTGCACAGGATGTCCCACTTTTACGAACTTCGTTTTCTTTTCTCTCGACTGTCATCTGTTTCTCGAGTCTGTCGAGTCGACACAGCTTACAGAAATTCCGACTAGATCGCATGTCCATCCTCCAAGAAAGGTGTTCGCAAAATTAATTATTTACATAGTGCCAATTTGACATCGAGAAACAGATCGAAGCGAACAAATAACGGACGCGTACGTAACGAATCTACGTCCCCGTTTCGTTATGCTATTTTATACTCCTGACTCGGATCATCCTGTACACCGGCTTCACGAGAAACCACAGATCACAACCATCGAAATCTCAACTCCAGTTAAAGTGAACCTATTGGAATTTGACTTCCTCCCCGAGAGAAAAGACTCAGGGGTCGCAAGCGATGGATCTCGCTGGATGGTACCTGGCTGCTGACCAGACTGATGATTGCAGGTCCATTCCTTGCAGCAGTCTTCGCCGGGCAGCTGCGTCAGAATGGCCTGATACGGTGGACAGGGCAACGTAGCAGGTGGCAGAGCTGCGACAGGTGGACAGGCAGCCTGGCAGGACACGTTGCCCATCTCGCAGTAGCATCTCTTCTCGCAGCCGGTTACGTTCGATGGCAGCTCGCTCCAGTTGTCGTACATTTTGTCCTCGTAACTGCACGAGCCGTTATTGATGCAGCGTACTTCCTGGAAGGGAAGGTTCGGAATCTTCAGGGTTATTTTTCCGTTAATAATTTGTAAAGAAAGCCGCGGAGTATATGCAAAAGGAGAATAAAAATGGAGAAGGAATGAAAATCTTTCAGGTCGGGAATCGTGTCTTCTACAAGGAGTTAATATAAAAGTTGCAAAAAATTGAAGTAAGTTGTATTTTGTAACCGTTATAATGCACCACGTATCAGTCATTTGTAACGTTTCGTAGTGTTAGTGTTAACACGTTGCGATACTTGACGTATTGAAGACGCCGCTGCTAGGTTGAGATGGACAGGTTGATCTAACGTTGTCATTTTTTTATTATCATCAACGGAAAAAGGTGATCGAAGGTGTCAAAGGTGATTAAGGTAGATGTAACATCCTATAAAACTCACCTGAGGACAGCAATTAGGCGGTTTCGCGACGAAGTTCGGCGGAACGGTCTCCCAGTCCAAACAATGAGGGTCCAGCACGTCGAGCCCGAAGTCGGTGGGACATTCGATGGTCAAACAATCCGCCATACCATTCTCAGCGCACATGCAGAACGAGATGCACTCGTCGTACCATTCCGCGCCCATTTTGTACGTTTTTCCCCTGTGACTGCAGGTGTTCTTATCCCCAGTCTTCTCAGAAATGTTTGTCTTAATCACTTCCGCTGGGAGGACGACTTGCAGGGCCGGACCGGCTTTGGTCCCTTCGGTCACGCGAACCGAGTACGTTCGAGCTGGCTCTAGGTTCGATATTATACCGTCTGAAACCAGAAAATCATCTTTTTACCTCCGCTTTTCACTATCTTCTACTGAAAAACTTGAAAGACTCGTTAAAGGTACGGTAAGAATGTTCTGAAGCCTCGTGGTAGTAATTATGTCGTGTAAAGAATTTGACCGACACGAATGCAGAGGATCACAGAAATCCACAATTAGATAAAACTGCTTCCCGTTTCATCGAGTCTTGGAAAGAGGACTTTAATAATTGGTATATCTGTGTTCTCAAAGATTTTTTACACATTGAGTGCCACAGCTGTCGCACAGTGTTCAAAATTCATTATTATTGTATTATGTATATTTGAACAAACTGAATTTTACTAAGATTTTTAGAATGCAAAACAATTAAAAAATATTGCTCGTGCAATATTTCCACGATTTATTAAAAATAGATAAATTTTGTGCACTTGTCGTTACAAAGGATTAATAATAATAAGGTCAATTAATATTAAGGTCAGTACGAAGAAACAGTACCAAGAAAAACAATGGCGCATTCATTTTATTTTCAACACAAGACTTCTTTCAGTTGTAAAACGAATTCTTGCCCAAACCCATTTCTCATAAAATGATCTACGAAACCAGGCAATCGCACAATTCAGACAGCGACTTTCCAGACCTTTGTCGGGCTTCTGCTGCCTCCAGACATGATTCTTGTCAGAGATCTCAATGGTAACATCCTGCGGGTTCTTCGCAGAGAGTTTCAGCTTGATCGCCGTGGAATTCAGGACCTTGACATCGGTCAGATTGACGGTTAGTTCGCCCGAGACCTCTGGCCTGATCTCATGGTCGCCTAGGGTCACGTCGCAGAGGGTGATAGTGCAGCAAGAGTCTCTGAGGAATGCGAAGAAACGCGAAAATTGCGTGCAATCAATGTGTTTTGATAACGGTGATAAAAATGGATATAGTTTGATCATCGGTACCTTGGATCGGTGAGGACGACGCAACGATCGTGCTGGTTGGTCGCAGACGTGGTCTCGTTCGGAGGACACCTAGGTTGACATTTTAAGACACCGCCCATCTCGCAAACGCAGACTCTGGTGCAGCCGTCTTCGACCCTTTGACCTCGCATGATCGTCTCGTTCCCGAAGACGCAGCTCTCCTCCGGTTCTGGCGCTGCGGCAGAAACTAAAGATCCTTTGCGACTGCTCGATAGTTCGTCGACGATGGGCAGGACAGCTCAGAATTCTTCTGGTTTCGTCAACTACCCTGATCTGTACTATTCAATTTACTGAAGGCTTCGATCGATTCGTTTAATTGTAGACATTCTAGGAAGCCGTATTAAACTGTAGTAATTTTTCCAAAAAGATTAGCAAAAAGCTGCTTAAATACTTTATCTAAAATACTTAGTCGAATGAACTCTTTTTAATCGTACATTTTGTTCAAATAACAATAATACATTATTCCTAGGAAAATATTCTATCTATATATTTGAACAATTCTTTAGTCTTCTTTATACGAATATCCGTTGAAATTTTATTTCATCCACAATTTAAAGGTTCGCAGGTTCTAGGATTATCCAGACAAATCCTGAGAGTTTTCGGATGAGATAACGACTGTCTCACGCTTAATCGATCACTTTTGAGGCTCGTACGCCGAAGAAAATTACGTAGTTCCAGTAGAAAGGCTTACCAGAGTCAGCAGCACAGACCAGAATCGCGCAGCAAGGTTCCTCGTTAACTAGCTTCTCCTGGCACAGCGGATCCTCGACACCTCTGTTGGCTTTGGCATAAGGCGACGTGCAAAGAGGTTTGCAGTCTATCACCGCGCCGTGCTCGCCGCAAATACACTTTTCCTCGCAACCTCTGATGATCTTTTCGCCTATAGAATACGTCTGATTCCCGTCGGTGCACATTGTGATCGGTAGCAGCGTCGAGGAGATGTTCATGGAGGTCTCGTTGTGAGGAGCTACGTATTCTCCGCCTGAAACAGCGTCAGTTTTCAGGTAATGTAGTCAAATATGTTCGAACACTAAATTTCTGCTCGGTCAAACATGGAGAAACATGTTCGAACATTGACGAATATGTATAAGCACACTCAATTGTAACTCTTGCACTTAGTTAATTATATTATTAATTAGTTAATTAAATATTTCACCACAGTTAATAATCTAAATCCAGTTGAACATATTTAAAGATGCTATTCGAACACTGTTGAACTTAATCGTGCGCGATTAGACTTAAGTTTCAATTAGACACTGTGGAATGAAGTTGTGGAATCACAGTTTTATTGAATTCGCACATGATCAGATATAATCGAACACAGTGTAATAAATTCGTACATGATCGGATACGATCGAACACGGTGTAATAGATTCGTACATGATCGGATACAGGCGAACACAGTGTAATGAATTCGTACATGATCAGATACGATCGAACACAATGTAACGAATTCGAACGTGATCGAACACGATGCAATGCAGTCATACAAGATAAGAGAGATACAATCGAACACTGTACAATGAAGTCATACAAGATGAGACACAATGAAACTCTGTATAATGAAGTCGTAAAACATCAGACACGATCGAACACAATATAATGAAGACCTAGAAGATCATACACAATCAAGTGCACTGTGATAAAGTCACACAAGATTAGATACAATCGAGCACAGTGTAATGAAGTCATACAACATCAGACACAATCGAACACAGCGTTGTAGACACAATCAAACGTAATGTAATAAATTCGCACATGATCAAACACATTCATACATGCGCAAATATAGCAAAGCACAGTCAAGCACTGTCAAGCACAGTCAAGCACAGTCAAGCACGGTCCAGCATATTAAAATGCAGTCAAATATAGTAAAAAAGAACGAGACGCACCTTCGACATCTTTGTCATCATCATCCATGCTAACATCGCTAAGGTCAGTGATGTTCGAGTGCAAGGAGTTAGTAGGCTCCGGAGCAGAGATATTTAACGCCCTCCCTCTAGAAGCTGTAGTCTCCTCAGTGGTTCTCATTTCCTCGGTAGCATTCTCGCTACCAGAAGATTCCATCATGACAGTCGATCCATTCGACTCATCCTTCATAGGTATAATAGGTTCACCGTGAAATAACAAAGGAATCGTGATTCCCATCGTCTCCATTGGCCTCGTAGCGATATCCTCCATGGACTTCGTCGACGTCATCCAAGGCATCGTCGTTGTTCCAGCATCGTCTGATTCGCCTCGCTTCGAGTCGTCATCTTTGCTAGGTTTTTGGTACTTCTGATCGGTTTTGACTTTGAAGTCCACTGGTTTCTTCTTGGGCTCGATCGTGGTCTTTGAATCCTGTTCCTTGACCGGGTACTCGGACTTCCGATCGTTGGTGTCGTTTTTCGCGTCGACGCGGAGAGGTTTCACGCCCGGCACTTCCGTCACGTCGATTCCTGGAAACAGAACAGTTATTGCAGTTTAATTGTTTATTATTTGTACTATATATCATCTTTATTATATCTTACATAAATACTATTATTTATTGTATCAGTGGTACTGCTAGTGGTACCATTATTACCATTAACGGTTAATACAGTTTTTAACAGAATTATCGATTTTAATCAGATTTAAAGATCCCAATGACTGCGTTGGAGAACTATTATATTCATTGAATTGATTTTATTTACAACCTTAGACTACACGAAGCCTACAGGACATCAAGAATAGCATAAGCTTTAACATATATTCGTTGAAAACAGAAATGGTATAAGTCAAACAAGTTAATTTGTGGATAATGAAGGATGAATTAAATGTTCTGCAAAATGCAACAACAGAAAAAATTGTTAGAACTATTTTAGGTAAGCTAATTTCAAGCTTCAACTTAAAATAATAAAAAAGAAGGAATAAAATATCAGATTAAATATGATTTAATAACATTGAATCGATCTAGAAAAAAATTGACTTACACCACGTTTGCTTCAAACGTCTCACGTGTTTCCAATAAAACGGGCTCATCGAATAAGTTCCCTATAAATGTATTTTTATAATTGCAATCATCGTAAATCTAGCATGTAAATTTAGCAACCGAATTAGATCGGAAACCACTCCAAAATATTCTCCAAATACCCAAACCAGAATTACAACATTCGAAAAATCGTGAAGCGGAAGCAGAGGGGCAACGACGAATGTCCCCTTCGCGATCGTTATCCGCGAAATCGCCTCCCTCGTCTGTAAATAATGGAAAACGGTGGACTATCGGTGGAAGTCGTAGGATCTGAACGATAATGCAAGATTTATACGGCGATGATTCGAAAGCTGAGAATCCTCGGGGATCACAGGAGCCTAGGAAATCGCATCGGGGTGCATAAGGAAGCAATTATTCGAGACGATACTACGACTGGGCGCAGTGTCACCGGAAAAGGTTCGCATAACGGTAAAGCGTGATCGTAGAACGTGCTGTCCGAGCTGTTCTCGCCGTTCGACCCGTGAACTTGAACTTGCCCCGATGCGAATCGGCTCCGCGAACGTTCAATTATCGGCCACCGCTAACAACCAATTATCAGGCCTTTAAACACACTGCGATTACTTTCGGACACGCGAACTGCACCGCCGAGAGACTGCTGCCGATTATTTCGTTGCGCCTTGAAACACCTAAACGGCGCCGAACGTCGACAAACAGAGTCCAATATCGTCGAACGTGGTCGAACATAGCCGAAGATGGTCTTGCTAAAATTTTGTTAGAGAAATAAGGGCATGTTTCGTCGAATCGTTGCAGCAATAATCTTGACTGCATCGTGTATGCTTTTATGGCGTTTGTGATACTTGTTCCTTGATAGTGATCTCGTATCGATTATGTCAATCTTTAATTGTCTTTCGATTAAAAATGCTTCAGCGTAGTTGGTCAATTTCTGTTCTATAGAATTAGCTGTGCTGTATCATTAAATTGCGGATCTTTGTGCAAAATAAAAGCTTCCCGAGTATATAAAACACAGAAGCAGGATAAGAATGTGTTTCTTCTTTTAATGACATTAACCCGGTGAAAGTAATGCGACGGTATATGTAAATTCTTATAGCGTCTTCATACTTAACCAGGATCGAAAATTGCTTCGATAAAAATAGTGGAAAGGCACATTATGATATTGAGAATGGTAATGTGACTGTGATAAAGTGATAGTTAAATTTACAAATCTTCGCAGAATAGCTCGAATTGAGCTATTCAAAAAATAGCGTCTTCAAAACTCTTGAAGACACTATTTGATGAATAATTTAATGAAATTTGATGATTTGAAGACACTAGACGAATTTAATAATATAGTTATATTATATTCCACTTATTACTATCATTAAAACAGAAAAGACATTTTCATCTGAGTTAAATTTCTTACAAATAACATAGACAATTTTTATTCTGCATTGAGATCCGCAGTCTACTGACATTGTGCAACTTAACTTAAAAAATTATATTCCACTTGTTACTATTATTGAAAGAGGAGAAACATATTCATCTAACTTATATTTCTTAGCTTAAACAAATTTTTAACCGATATCATAGAACTTAACTGTTCAATTTTAATTTGATTGAAGAAAGTGCTTCAATTTAATGGAATTCTTAGATCGTTAGCGTGGCAGACAAAGCGTTAATGGCTTTCTAGTATTTCGAAGTTTTCTGTGAATTGCATAAATCCGTGAAAATCCGCATTCTTCCGACTGTTCCAAGCGAAAACCGAAAGTGCCGTTGTCGTTAGCACCGGTGAAAAATGATTTTGTTATGTTCGACTCGGTCAGTGGAACTTGCGTCACGTCGCGCCCCGTTTCCCGCAGAAACTCGCGTCCTTGGCGAACCGTGAATTTAGAATCCGCGAGAGTTCCACGCAGAGAGCCATCCGATCGAAGGAGCCGCAATTTCACCTGGGATCGCCGTTCCACGGTGGTTTCGCAACACGAAGATTCTCTGCTGATACGTCGGGGATAGCGTTGGCATAGTGTTTGCTAGAAACTTTCCATCCGCGGCGATCCGATGCGAAATGCGCTCTCTGGACGTACTGTTACGTCAAACGACCCGCTGCCAGCTCGGTCGTCGTTCCCGTCGACTGCTTCTTCTGCGATTCTGCCGGTCGGTCAACTTTTTCTGGATCCATCATCGATCCTAGCGGATCGCCGCTAGATCGTTCTGCTCGCGAATGGCCTGCTATTCGAGACGATTAGACGATTTTCCGCACTCACGGCAGAAATGTGAAGACTTTTAGAAGTGCTTCAAAGTACTAATTGTTTCTGATTTCTAAACATTATTATTAAATCGGATGAATACGCTTTTATTAAACTTTATCTTGCATAGGAATCTTTACTTTCGTAGTAATGAACGATTTTTAATTCCTGCTTTTTTTTTTCTTTTTTTAATTCCGAATCTATCTCCAGAGACGCGGGACTTTAACCTTCTTCGGAACGCCGCGCTGCCATAATGGTAGCACCGGACTTTCGTAATTAACACGTTCACTGCTAACGTTTGTTTCGACAATTCGCGTAGATACGCTATGTTATTAAGTGCGGGTACATCCTCTTATGCTATAATGTACAAAATTAATTCAATTTTCCGTGCGTGAAGAAGAAAATTGTGGCTAACACGTTCGCAGTCAACGTAATAACAAGGAAATATAAACATTTAGAACATTTGTGGAAGAGTCATCTTTTGTAGAAGATGGCTCTTGAAAAATGATCTGACGTATTATAATATCCTTTGCTAATATAAAAATTGGAACTGCTAATTGGAAAGTTAATAACAAATAATTGGACTGCACGAAAGCCAATCACTGTAAGAAAGCACAATTTTTACTATAATATTATCTGTTGTTTATTTATAAAGAAATCGGCTATATTAATTTATCGACCGAAAGATTCATTTTCAAGAATGGTGGATCTAAACCGATTGGCTTCTGAACCGTCTAATTGTCTATGCAGAATGGCCTTCGAATTTATGATGAACAATATGATTTCTTGAGTATTCGCGCAAACAACTAATGACTGTAGAGAGTAATTAAAGATGACATACATATATCCTCTGTTAATGATAATTGTCTGTGCTGAATAGCGTTTGAAGTTATGACGAAGAATATGTTCTCTTGAATATGCAAACAACTAGAGGCTGTAGAGAATAATAATCGTCTAAATACCTTGACAGAAACATTTAATTACATGTAATAAAGCCACACGTACATTCTTCGGTATTGCTTTCAATAATTTTCTAGATTGCCTTGGTGATACGGGACCACACGTTTGAGGAAGACATTCTTCTCTGTCACCGTTTACATTGAAGGTCCAGTTATAAGATCGCGTCCATTTTTGGATCAAAAAATGAATACTTGTTTTGTTCTGTCTATTCTGTTTAATTTGCGTTCATCAGAACCGTACGAACTGTAGCTTATCAGAGACATAGATCGTCGCAGTCCGTTCTTAAAATAATCGTCCTTGAGGAGGTTAACTGTCTCTTAAACAAGTGGCACAAGAGAGCTCCTCTTGCAATCGCTGCTTTCCATGTGCTAAAGGAATGAGAAACAGTTATTTCCAAGTCCGTCGGTTGTCTTCTGTCGTCGCCGCGGTCTCTACGCACAGTAATGTATTTCCAGCAACCTTTACACACCGACCAAGCCGCCATTTCTCGTATCACTGACAGACTATTAACCTTTTACCCACGGGAACCCCTTCAATCGCAATCTCCTAACGAACCATTTCTTCCATGGTCATTCTTGATTAGAAATGTACACGTTAAATGCCGAAAAACAACCTTAAAATTACCACAAAAATAACACTCGAACGACGGAACTTCTTGACAAAAATATAACTGAGTATGCTTAGGATCGTTTATATTTTTTGAGGTACTCCTTCTGGACACGTTATTTTTTTTTTTATAGAATTTACTAAAATATGTGAAAATTTAAATCAATTGCCAGAAGACAGTCAAATGATAATATTTAAACTGAAGTTAAAAAATTACAATTTATCACAGAAAACATTAGTTTAACTCTTTTGTGTTCTAAAAATCCTAGGAACGTTCCGTTCGTTCGATATACAATCACCGACGCGGTACTCAACTTCTTTCCTTGAAAGTCAAAATATAAGATTTCAAAATTTTCTTACAATCTCATATGTTCTTTTTATCAGTACAGAACTTGCAAATAGTGTCTCGAAATTAAAAAATCTGAGAGCTCCTAATTGATTCAGTAATGAGTCTAGTGCTGTAACGTCAAATAATGAAATTTAGATTAGAATCTCGACGTAGTCCTCCACTCGGCCGCCATGACAATCCACCGTCTGGGAGACGCCTAATTGATCTACCCCATTGTATTGAAATCTATACGTAAAATCTATTGTCCTGTCAAGTCTGCCATGTACAGGTTGAACAAAACTGTACTCGTCGTTACATTATTAATTAGCGTGCCGGTCCGAGAAACGAAATATA